GTGCTTGTGCGCTCGGGGAGTGAAACAGGAAGGTGATCTGGGGGTGTAGACACTTCGCCAGCACATCCCAACACCCGGGGCAGAGAGGAGCGAGACCGTAAATAAATCCGCATTTGTCCCTTCCATTTTTATCTCAGAGTTTAGTTTGTGGGTCGTGAGAAAGACGCATTTTGCAGAGAATTCGGGCTTTTTATGTCGCAGGTGGGATTTTCATGCCGGAGACAGATTTCTGCATGGGAAATTAGTCAATGGATCTAACTAGCTCTAATGGTGGGATTTTCCAGCTCTTGGAATAGGCTGAGTTCTCGTGCCTGGGGCTTGTTATTTTAATTTTTAATTTGCCCTTGAAAGTCTTTATGCGCAAATTTATATTTGGATTTCTAGCTGCTGCTGTGGCTTCGTGTTCGCATGAAATGCCGCTGGACTATTTTAGGAAGGAATTGCAGATTCGAAAGAAAGAGCTCGGAATTGCCCGAATGAGCTTGGTGAAAAACACTGAGGAAAACACCTGCATAAAATACGACATAGACCGCTGCTGCACGATGATCGCGGATGTGGAAAAATTGTGCAAGGAAAAAAACGCTTCTGAGAGCATACTAATTAGAGACTGCATGTCCATAATGGACGATGCATACAGCATAAAGCTGCAGCTTAGGGAGAAGTGCGTGGCTTCTGAAACAACAGCAATCCAACTCCCCCATAAAATTTGGTACTTTGACAACGGCTCTGCGAAAAGCAGAACAGTCAAGGAGATGCCTTCAATGGAGCTAGACCTGTACGTTCTGGCGAGAGAAAAGTATCTGGTCGCGATGCGGCTTGCTGATATATTTGAACAGGCGGACGAGGAGAAAATGGCGGACGAGGAGGCCTTTGCAGCGATTATATGTGGGCGCATTCCAGCGATTGACTCCCTGGAAACGGCAAGGCGGTTTATTACTTCTGTGCGAGCCAACGTTAGCATGATGAAGTTCTCTATAATGGAAGCAGTTAGCAATAATCTGCACTCTTTGCTGCCAGTGAAGGAGGAAGCGGAGTACAAGAGAATGCTTTTGTGGTACATCATAAAAGCCTGCAGTAAGGACACGGCAGCTCCTTTAAACCTCACGCAAGAAGAAGCTGAGGACATGCTTAAAGCGAATGGCATATACAATGCCTCTATGTCTTCTTTGGTGGAAATCACGCCTCGGGTCGGGTACATCAGCACCCAGGACCCATCCCTCTTCAGGCCCAAGGACTTTATAGATATTCTCACTGCTGAACACTTCCTGAACAACGGAAGGTTTGTGGGCGCGGGGAAAGTGCTGAAAACCCTGCACAGGCAGGTCATGCGCAGCTCCAAGCCGGTTTTAGAGTACATCGCGCACATGGTGGGAGCCATCATGACCAACATTGACGTTGCCTCCAAAGACGAAAACCCAAACTACAGCGCAAGAAAAACCCAGGCCAGAAACGCATCCTGCGAGAACATGCTGGCGTGTCGCCTTTGCAAGAAGAGCAGGGATATTATGAACTTCTACACAAAAGACCCCAGAAGGATGGCACTTCACGTGCTAGACGAGCTTGCAAATGTTGTATACATAGACGAAGACGGAACAGGAGCCTTGCGCCCTTACATTAGCAACTACCACTTTGTGTGGCACGCAGTGAAGGTTTTAAACGCCAAGTTCTGCAAGGAAACCCGCACTTTCGTGCCCGAGCCAACTGAGAAGAGAGCACACAATCCGCCAATGGACATTGTGGCTCTGAACAAAATCATGCACGAAGGAAATGTCTTCTTTTCATTGGACTCTAAGGCCGTACTGATAGGGCGCCAGGCCTAGAAGCAACTATTCATGGGGTAATAGACTCAGTGCAAAGCACGCGAAATAAAAACCAAACACCGAATTTTTGCGCCTTCTTTTCTCTGCCTCCCCTGGGAAGTGCTGCACGCCCCAAGACAAAACATAAAGTGTAATATTTTTGCATTTTGCAGACTTTATAGATTATAATGCACAGGCACGACAGCCAGCGCAAGGCAACAAGCAAAATGTGCTCGTGTGCACGGCATTTAGGTTCTACAGAGCAGGCTGCACGCCCTGCACACCATCCCCCCTTGAAACCGCAACTTTCCTGAGAATGCTCGTTCTTTTTCTGGCCTGTATCTTGTAGGACAGCACAAAAAAGGCCTTTTCCGCGCGCGAGTACAGAATATCTACAGGCTCTTCCCACTCTGTGAGAATATTCCACTCCCCCAAGCACGACCCCTCCATGGAGTAGCACACGAGCCGGCATCTTTCCACGATCATCGCAAAGCACTGCTCGCCCCCACACTCGCCCACGCACACAGAGATCACGGGATACTCTGAAATTCTTTGGGAGAGCTCCTCGAAAAATCCCCCGTCCTGCTTCAGTGCGTACACGTGCATATACCCGCCCTGCGTCACCACACAAGCTCGGGTGCTTTCTCCCTCTGCAATGCCCACGTCCCACACGCAAGACTCGCACTTAAAAGTGCTTTCGATTTCCCACTTTACTTCGCACATTTCGTCCTCCCACCTGCTGTACACAACCACTTCATTGGAGTATCCCACGGTAACCAGCCGGTTCTGGTGCCATGCAATTGTCTTTACGTCGCTTTCACTGTACTCGATCACCTCCTCAATCTCCCACTCGCCTTCCTCGTTCAGCTTCCACACCCACACGCTCCCATCCCTGGTGCTGAACCCAAGCCGGCCGTCCGCGCTGAACCCCACGCCCTTTACTTCGCTGTCCGCGCCCTGCAGCCTGTCCAGGCGTATGCCCTTTTCTATGTTGAGCACATCGCACACTCCGCTGAAGTATCCCACGCACATGACATCGCTGTCCTGCATAAACTCGCATCTTCTAATGTAGTCGCACCCGCGCGCGCTTTCCTCCGAAATTTCTGGAAGAATCCCGCAGTTATCGCCCTCCGTGCTGATTCTTTTCACATTCTGCAGGTTCTTCAGCTCGTACACGCTTATTGTGTCCTCCACAGCCACGCAGAGCACGCTTCCATTCTCGCACATAGACCAGCCCTGCCCAGCTATTTCTGCTATAACTTCGTTCATTCCATTTTTATTTTTCGGAAAGTATATTTATACGCCCTGTGCACACGAGAAAGAGCGGAAATATTCGATAGTTGCAACTCCAGGCGAAAATGCACCTGTTTGCTGTAAACAGGATATGCACAAATATGCTGTAATTTGGAAGCGTGGCATTGGCGCACAGAAGAGCTGCAAAAGCCAAGAGGCCAGGCATCGCGCGCCAGGGACAGCGCATCTGGGCAGTCCATGCACGCGAAAGACGGCGTTTCCTGCCCAATTCTGCAGTGCTCTGGGCTGATTTCAGGGCATACCTCCGAAAAAGCGCAGAGTTTGGCCTCTTCAGAGGCTGAGAATTCGCATGATATTTGAGGGGGCGAAGCTCTCTGCGCCTGTTCCTGCATCCGCCGGTAGAAGGACAGCCCAAATTTTCAACCGAATAAAGGCCAAGACAGCACGAAAAAGCACGAGCATCACAGCAGGAGCCCGCAATAAACACAAATAGAAGCTCTGCAGCATTTACAAACAAACACCATAATACGCACCTGTGCCCGTACAGCGTTCTTTGTGCCGTGTAAATATTGGATCGAGCCGTGTTTATTTCTATTTCTATTTTTATTTTTTATTTCTGGGACATATGCTTGGCAGTGCACTAAGTTACGATGAGATAGAACGCGAAATAGAAAAAATGCAGTCACCAAACCCAAAGCTACGAGAAGAAAGCATAGACAGCTTGTACAAAATATCAAAAGAAATCGGACAAATATACACAGTGCAGTACCTACTACCATTTATACAGAAAATACTAGATACAAATGAAGAGGCAAAGGTGCACATTCTGCACCAAATAGAGAAGGTATCACGGGAAGTGCTGCAGGAAATAAAGCCAGTGTATCCTCTGTATAAAGAGATATTCCTAACACGAGACGACACTTTACGGGAGAAAGCTGCTGAGTCCTTGGTGGGCAGCGTAGTGCACATATCAGATAGGAAGATAGACTATGAATTGTACGGGCTTGAGGAGTTTATATGCAGGCTGGGAGAGAGCAGATTTGTGATGCACAGGATATCTGCGATTTCTTTGCTGAGAAAGTGCTTGGACGAAATACCGCAGCACGTGCAGCTGGGGAGGCTGAAGGGACTTTTTGCAGGGCTCCAGAAGGATCCTCTTTCCATCGTCAGGAGAAAAAGCATTGCGTGCGGAGAGATACTTTTGTACTTTTACACGGAGGGCGAGATCCGGGAGATCATAGAGGGCGTGCTGCAGGATGAAGATGACATTGTCCGAAGCTATTTTGTGTCGCCGCTTTTCCTGCTCGACAAGACCAAAGAGAACCTGGTGTTTAACCTGAAAATATTCAAAAAGGCCTCGGGCGACAGCAGCTGGAAGGTCCGCAGCAGCTCCACAAAGATCATCAAAGACGTGATTCTGTACGTGTACGCGCAGGGGAGAGAGTCAGACTCTGGCCTCTTGCAGGAGAGCCAGTTCAAGAGAGGGAGCGAAGACGAGGGCGCGCTGGAAACATCGCAGGAAAGCGGGGTTTCAGTTCTGGAGTGCATAGACAGGCTGGTGGAGGATAAAGAAGACGAGGTCAGAAGAAGCATCGTGGAGAGAACCCCAGAGATATTAAAGGAGGCTCCGCACACAAAAAACAAGATACTTTACATCATAGATAAGGCATCGTGCGACAGGTCCCCAGGCGTGCGGGAGATTGTGCCAAACATTCTTTCGGTTATATCGGAGATAATAACGAAGGAGGATGTGGCGCTTTTCATATCCCCCATCATCAAGAGGCTCCTGGTGGACGAAGACCAGAAGACAAAGATGGAGACGATAGGGAAGCTGAAGACGCTGTACAGCAAGCTGGGGACAGATGCTGTCACAGATGCCCTCACTCCGGTCATAAACGACCTAAGCAGCGCCAATTGGAGAACGCGAATCGCTGTCCTAAAAAGCATTTCTTCTCTCAGCAGGCAGATGAGCAAAAAGTACTTCTACGAGTACCTGAACGAGCCATTTTTCAAGGTATTTATCGACCCAATTTGGCTGGTCCGGAAGGAGGCAGCAGCAATTCTTGCGGAAATCTCCATAAACTTCGGCGCTCCCTGGGTGTGCGCTGACATGATGCAGTCCCTGGAGTTTCTCAAAAGCAGCCGGCACTATGCGCACAGAATCTCGTACGTGACTGCGCTGGGAAAGATTCTGCAGACGCTGTGGCCTCGGCGCGTGCAGAAGCTCTTGGGGAAGAATCTTTTGGAGATGGCCGACGACCCGATTCCGCAGGTGCGCCTGACAGTGGCCAAGGCTGCACGCGCTGGGATTCTTGAAGAAAAGCACCGGATTCTGAAGCATCTGCAGGACGACGCCCACCCAGAAGTAGCGAGCATCTCGGGAGCAGAAACTGAATAAATGTAAATGTGAGACCCGCGAGCCGAGATGAGTAGATAGCTTTATTAAAGAACATCTGATATGTTGCTCGGGAATGGAGATATTATTGTGTTGTAGTGTTTCTCGTACCTCCTGATCATTTCCACGTCGTCCATGCAGACGAAGTTGATGGCTGTTCCCTTTCTTCCGAAACGTCCTGCTCGCCCTATTCTATGTATGTAGTTCTCTATCTCCTTCTCGTGCGGCACGTCAAAGTTAATGACCACGCTCAGCGTCTGCACGTCCATTCCTCTGGCGAGAAGCCCCGAGGAAACGAGGGTTCTGCACTTTCCCTCTGCGAATCTCTTCATAACGTCATTTCGGACTTCCTGCGGGAGCTCACTGTGGAAGATTTCGCACTCGAACCCCCTCTCTATCATATTCTTCTGGATGTTTATCGCTCTCTCGACCTTATTGCAGAATATCACAGACTGTGCAATAGACCCTCTAGTATACAGATCGCACAGAGTATCAAACTTGCACATGTCCACCGAAGATCCTCTCTTGTCTCCTACGTTAATAAAGTACTGTTTGATTCCCTTGAGAGTTTGGTCTTCATCCTTCAGCGAGATAATGACCGGGTTGTTTAGGATCTGGGCGGTGATTTCCTGCTCGTCCTTGCTCCACGTTGCGGAGAAAAGGCCGACCTGCAGCTGCTTGTTCGGGATCTTGTTGTAGATTACGTTTATCGGCTCCAGGAATCCCTTCTTCAGCATCTCATCGGCCTCGTCCAGGATGAAGAGCTTAACATGGTCGAGGTTAATAAGCCCCATGTCGATGAGGTGAATAAGCCTTCCCGGCGTTCCGACAAGAATGTGCGGTCTCTTCTTCACCTTTTCGATGGTCTCGAATATTTTCACACCCCCGTACACGGCCTCGATTCCTATCTTCGTCTCTTTTCCGATGCTTCTAAGCACCGAGCATGTCTGAATTGCGAGCTCTCTGGTTGTCTCCATAATGATGACTTGCAGGTCCCGAATTTTTGTGTCGACAGACTGCAGAGACGCAATACCAAAAGCCGCAGTTTTTCCGGTTCCACTCTGCGCCTGCGCCCTAAGGTCTCTCTTCTTGAGAAGAGGCATGATTGCCGTCATCTGAATGGCCGAGGGCTTCTCAAATCCCATGGCGTAAATCCCCTTGAGAATGTCCTCGCGCAGGCCCATTCCGTCAAACGACTCGACCAAGTCGGCCTCTCCGCCCTGCTCGTCAACCACCAAAACCCCAGCCATTAGACTCGTTTTGGAAGCCTCCTCTTCTGGAATATCTATAACCTCGTCCATGTCAATCTCCTCATCCTCGGAATTTTCCTTGACTTCCTCCTTCAGGGTTTCCTCGGTTTTTTGTGAACCTTCCTCTTTCAATGTTTCTGTGGGTTTATCTTTTTCTTCGTTTTCAATTAAATGCGTGTCTCTTGTTTTACTTTCTGTCATATTTTGCATGGGTAAATTTTTTCAATTTAAATAAACAAGCATTTATTAACAAGCCAATGTCTTTGCCCTACGAAAGTGAGTCGTAAAAATATGCAGGGTCGTACGTGCTTCTGTGCCCCACACTCGCCTTGTCTGGGGCATTTTCCAACTTTTTGTTGTTGTGTGTAAAGTCGTACTCTTCGTCAGGAATCACTATAGGCTTCGAAAGTATGTGTTTAGAGGGCTTTGCTGAACTTCGCGAGGGTTTCCCGTGCCAGGATGGCCTGTTGTGTCTATCTGTACATTTTGTAGCCTCTGTGCATCTTTTGGGATTTTCAACGCTTGTCCAAGTGCGGTTGTGCTTAACCTCTTTTATGCTGGCTATTTTGAAAACGAGGTACTCGTAGACCTGCGAGCTCGCGTATATTTTTACGGGGGGAGTTCGGGTTTCCGTGCCAAAAGACTTGACTTTGCACATCGTGATGGTCTCTTTTTCTGGGTCGCATGCAGTGACAGTGCCGGAGTACCGCACTTCAGATTGAGAAAGAATTTCCACAGTCTCCCCAATGCACTTAAAGAAGTCAAACATAAAATATTTGCAAACACACAGAGATCTATACAGAAGAAGATGGAAGGCGATGGAGGGAGTGAGTTTGAAAGTAGGGCCGAAAATGGAGGAATGCGTGCGAGTGCTCGGGTGGGGGGTTCTGCTCGAAGGATTCCTGCTGTAATAGGGCATCGAGGCATGGGCTCGGGTATTGATGAGAACCGAGTGGGCGCTCTGGAAGAGTGCAGGAAGTACACGCAGATGGCAGAGATTGATGTGCAGCTAAGCATGGACCTGGATGTTTTTGTTAGGCACGACCTGAACGTGGGGGACGTTCTCGTTGAGGACATGCAGACAGAGCACCTGCAGAACGCGCTTGGGCTTCCGCTGTTGTCGGAGGTTTTGGCAGGGACGGGGATAGATTTGAACGTGGAAGTGAAGTACGAGGCGCAAAAGATCAGCAGGGAGGTTTGGTGCGAGTGCGTGGTGAGCACGGTCGAGAAGGGAAGGCGCGGGAGGTACGTTGTGTACAGCTCGTTTGACAGGGGAGTGTGCGAGATCCTGAAAAGGCGCGGCCTGGAGACGCTGTTTCTCGTGGAAGAGCTCGTGGAGGAGTCTGTTGTGTACGCGGAAAAAATGCAGTATATGGGAATAGTCACGGACGCAAGCAGTATTTGGATGCAAACGGATCTTATCGAAAATATGCAGGAGAAAAACATGTGCCTGCTCACATACGGAAAAGACAATACAGACCCAGGAAAAGCGAAAAAACAGATTTCCATGGGGGTGCACGGGATAATAACCGACGCAGTGCCAGAAATAGCGAGATGCTTAGAGCAGATGCCCTAGAGCTGCAATGAAAGCGGAAGGGCAAACATAACTTGCCAGAATTGGGCTAATTTGGCCTGGGTGTTTGCATGCTCTAGCACTGCCTGTGCTGGAAATGTGCACAGATCAGGCCAGAGCTGCTGCGGGGAATTCAGAATATTTTTGTAAAAATGCGCAGAATGCCAGCAATAAACACATTTTATTTCTTAGCAGCATTTTCTCGGCCCTCTGGGTGCCGCTTTCTAAATAATAAAGAGAGTTTTCAGCCTCTCCATCACGCACTGCAGCCGCCTCACTTCTGTGCACATGGCTGATATTTTTTGGATTTTCCCGTGGATTTCTTCTACTGTCCCGGAAACCCAGAAGTCTATGCGGTCTCCATGCACCTCCTTTGGAATGCCTGGAAACACTTGGGTGTGCCATATTTTGCCTGCTTGAATGGGAAATGTGTACTTTACAGTTCTGCTAAGTGCGTACGTGTTCATGCTTTCACGGTGCTTTGTGCTTGCGCTTTCTATTCGCATGAGAGAGTGCTAAAAGCAAAATTACAGCGTAGTTAGCCAGAAGAAGCAGCAGAAACACAATGCAAAATCGGCCCTTTTCTGCGCTGTATATGCGCCGTATGGAGTGGTTTATCCTGCTGACGAGGGGAGCAGTCTGCTCTCTGGCTATGCTGCAGTATATCTCGTTTGTTCTTTTGGCAACCAGCGACCACTTGTACATCGAGTGCACTCTGCGGTGGGAGACTTCCCTGTCGTGCGGCTCTATTTTGGGAATAGACGCTCGTATGCCTGCCAAAATGCCATCGACAGTTGGCGGCACGAGCGTGATCATGTCCTTGGGAAGCACTTCGGAGATGCCGTCTACGTCTGTGCTGACGACGTAAAGCCCGCACGCAGCTGCCTCTATGATGGAGATGCAGAAGGCTTCAGTCAATGACGTGTTTAGGAAGAGGTTTGACCGGTTCAGAACATTCTTTACTTCAGACGGGTTTACGCCCCCTAGGAAGCTTACTTTGTCCTTTAGCTTGTGCCTGTCAACGGTTTGCTCCAAAAGCTCCCTCTTTTCCCCGTCTCCTGCTATGACAATGCGAATGCGCGGATCAATTCGGCATATTCGGGGGAGGGCATCCGCCAGAAGCCTCGCCCCCTTTCTGGCCGTTAGCCGGGTCACCACAGAAATAACTATTTCGTTCTTGCGCGTGCCCTCTTCCAAGGGGATGGGCTTGAAGTCCTCGGTCACTGCGTTGGGGATGACTGCGATGCTTTCCCCGTGTATTCCCAGGCGGTCTGCAGTGTTGTCTTTTGTTGCGCCGGATACGCATATGATTTTGTCGCTGTCACGGACTCCCAACTGAAACGTGCTTTCGGTTATTATTCCACCCAAAGACTCGGTCTTCACAAGAGAGTGGTTTGTAAAGCACGTGGGGATCCCCAGAATTCTACTGTGCAGGACTCCCTCTATGGCAAGCGTGCTGCACTGGTGCCCGTGCACGACATCTACAGACTCATACAGCAGTATTTGCACGATGGGAGCTGCCGTGCACAGGATCGTGGGAAAAACCGACCCGCTGAACATGGAGAACATCTCCAAATAGTACACTTTGAATCCATCCACGTACTGCACGCCCTTGCGCCCAGAGCCAGAATGCGTTATTACTATGATCGTGTGCCCCATTTTGCGCAGTTCTTTGCTTAGGTTTAGTATGTGGTTTTCAACGCCCCCAAGCCTAGGGCAGAAGAAATCACTAATCATTGCTATGCGCATAAAAAGCAAACACACAAGGAATTTATTTCGATGGATTTAATATAAAAAAGTGCAGAGAATCGTTCTGTGCTGTGCTTGTGCATTGGATTGGTGCGATTTATCGGGGAAAGTGATACTTCATCGAAGGATGTGGCCTTCTGCGCCTAGCATGTGCTTCCTGCACGCGCTGCTTTGTTTGTGCCATTTCCTCGCGGGTGTTGTTTGTTTACATGGAGATGGAGAGGCTCAGAAAGGGAGTAATCAAAACCCTCGAAATAGGCGAGAGCACGCCAAAGAAGACCCCAAAAAAGGAAGCCGCGTACAAATGGAGAGACTTTGTAATTATTTGGCTTCTTTCTTTTCTTGTGAGAGTCTACCGGATAGAAAAGGGGGGGTTTGTCATGTGGGATGAAGCACACTTTGGAAAGTTTGCAGGACACTACCTCAGCAGAGAGTTTTTCTTTGACGTGCATCCTCCCCTGGGGAAGCTGCTCACTGCACTCAGCGGGTGGCTGGTGGGCATGGCCAGCGACTTCTCTTTTAACAGCGAAAGCGCGTATCCCTCGGGGGTGGACTTTGTGGGAATGCGCATATTCCACGCGCTGTTTGGCGCATTTATTCCTGTGTGCGGATACTTTGCAGCCAGAACCATGCGCATAAACAGAAATGCTGCTTTCTGCGCTGGTATTTGGATGGCGTTTGACAATGCGTTTGTGGCTGTGTCCAGGCTGATACTTTTAGACCCTTTTTTGGTGCTTTTCATAGGCGCTGCAGAGGCATTCCTGTGCCGAGTTGTGATGGACAGACGGCGGGTGGAGACGATTAGCGGGGACTTAATAGGGCTGGGCATATCAATAGGCCTGGCTATGAGCGTAAAGTGGGTGGGCCTGCTTACTGTGGCGCATGTGGGGATATACGCTGTTTACATGCTCCTGGTAGACGTGAGAAACCGCGACCGGAGAGTCTTTGGGCTGTTCTACAGACTTTCCGTCACGCTTATACTCATTCCCGTGCTGATTTACATGGCGTCGTTTTGGGTGCATTTCCAGGTTCTGAACAAGTCAGGGCCCGGAGACGGAGAAATGAGCAGCCGCTTCCAGATACACCTGGAGAATAGCGAAGTCCTGGGGAACGACCCGGTTTTAAGCTATGGGAATAAGATCACTATTCGGTCCGGAGTGCATGGAGCAGGGATTTTGCACTCGCACGCCGACAGATATCCAACCGGCGGGCAGCAAGTCACCACGTACCCGCACAAGGACGGAAACAACCATTGGAGAGTTCTGAAAGTGGGAGACAATCCAACTAAAGTTCGCCCCATGGAAAACCTCGTGCTCTACCACACGGAAACAAACGGATACCTGGCAGTTGACGACCCCAGCAAAAAGACGCACTTAGACCCGGCGGATGGCCAAACAGAAGAGTACAGCATCGCGGAGGGCGCTTGCAAAGTGCTCTGCATGACCCAGGAGGAGATGGACAACCAAATACTCTCCAACACGGTGTTCCAGCTAGAGCCCTTGAAAGACTCTGCGATACACCCGCTGAAAACGCACTTCTACATCAGAAACACGCAGTATAACTGCTACCTGGCACACACGGGAAAGAAGCTGCCCAAGTGGGGCCACCAGCAGGGAGAGGTTGTCTGTCTTCCCGAAAAGACACACCAGTCCATATGGAACATAGAGCTAAACAAGTCGGAAGAAAGCGACAACACCTTGCAAAGTGCGCTCCCTCTACGGCCCTCGGACTTCCTGCACAGCGTTCTAGAGCTCAATGCAGCTATGCATTCGGTTAATAACGGCCTCGTGGACGACGGAAATGACGTTTTAGGCTCGGTCCCCGTGCAGTGGATATTCCCCAAGAAGTGGCTGCGGTTCAACAGGTGGGACGGAAGCGTGCCCAGATTTGCGATGGTGGGGAACGTGTGCACCTGGTACCTCGGAAGCGCAAACATTCTTTTCCTTGTGGGAAGTTTCCTGCTGGGGCTAAGCAAGAAAAGGCCCTGCAAAAATGCGTACATGCACCCGAAAACAGGAAGAATGTACATTGTTCTCGGCGGGTGGCTCTTCCACTATTTGCCCTTTATGCTTGTCAAGAGAATTCTTTACTTGCACCACTACCTGCCCGCACTATTCATCAGCATCCTGGGCGTGTGCATGGTCTTAGAGAAAAGGCGGACTCTGGTCTACCTATACACGTGCGCAGTCGTTCTAACGTTTGTGTACTTTTCGCCTATAACGTACGGGTACATGGGAGGCATAGAAAATATGCCAGGATACAGGCTGTTCAAAGACAGCTGGAATGTGTATGCAGAATAGAGCACTGGCTGAGAATGAATAAAAGAAGTAGAGTGGCACACTTATTTATCGTGCTCTGTGAGAGCACATGCCCTTTCGCTTCAGATTGTGCTGGGAATGCGCGTGTTTGCATATGTATGAATTTATTTTTACATTTGGGCTTCTCTGTGCCCGTAAAAGTAGAGTTTTCGGCTGTGTCCGTTCACTGGCGTGCACTCGGGATTTTATGCGTCTCCCCGCAAAAAGGGAAAAGAAAGTCCATTTTCAGACTCAGCGGGTCCAGGGCCGAAATTCTATGGGTCAGTCCCTTGCATGGGAAGAGCAATCTGAGCGTGCCCTTTTCTCTTTGGCTGGCCTGCTCGTGGCATTGCATATATGCCCTCTCTTCCCAAAGCACCGTATAGCATGCTATTTCGCGTGGGCTGCGGATACAGTCTGTTTTACAGCGCGCAAGCAGGGCAGAGTGCATGATCTGTTGCAAGTGCCTGTGTAGTGCGTATTTGTGCACTTTCACCGCATCCTGTCCTCCTCGCATTTTGGCCGTTCTGTGTTTGCATGATGTGTTTTCGTATAAGAGCACAGAGCAAATGCTTTAAAATTTTATGGCAAACATACAAGAGTCGATGAAACAGAAAGAGAGTGCGAATTTGGAAGATGCCCCAAACACGCCCACGCTCAGAAAAGCAAGGGCAGAGTATAAGCTGCCACAGCCTGGCGATATAATTGGTGGATACGTGCTGAGCGAAAAGATAGGTCAAGGCAGTTTTGGAATTGTCTTTGAAGGGCGCGGCGTAGATAGCACGCGGAAGTTGGCCATAAAGATAGAGATGCACTCTGAAAACAGATACTCCCAGCTGGAGAACGAGTACAATGTGTATATGAAGTTGGGCGCAGCCGAGGGCTTTCCGTACATAGAGTGCTTTGGGCAGTGCAGGTTCTACAAGTATCTGGCCATGGAGTATTTGGGGATGAGCCTGGAAGATATGCTGGCAATTCGCAACAGAATGTTCAGCGTGAAAACTGTATATATAATTGCCAAAAGAATGGTAGATCAAGTTCAGAAGCTGCACGCAATAGGGTATGTCCACAGGGATCTTAAGCCAGACAACTTTCTCATTGGGAGAGACCCCAGGAAAATATTTCTGATCGACCTGGGGATGGCAAAAGAGTTTGTAAAGCACGGGCAGCACTCGTACAACGGCACAGGGAAGAAGCTAACTGGCACGCCCAGGTATGCCTCTGTGAACGCGCACAAAGGGTACGATCTGGGGAGAAAAGACGATTTGGAGTCAATTGGGTACATTATACTCTATCTGCTGAAGGGGAAGCTCCCTTGGCAGGGCCTGAAGGAGTCGAAGCGAGAGAAGTGCAGGATAATTGGGGAAATGAAAAGCGAAATGAAGATCGAGGAGGTGGCAAAAAACATGCCTGGGGGGAAGCAAATGGTGGAGTATTTTCGGTACGTTGAAACCGTTAAGTTTGACACAGTTCCCGACTACAAGTATCTTATGGGGCTGTTTGACAGCGCCCTGAGCGCGCACGGGCTGTCGGACGATGGGGTGTTCGAGTGGGAGCACGTCTTCAAAGGGTACACAGAGAACATTTCCAACGACAGCCTGGACGAAGAAGTCGTCAAAAAGAAGTCTGTGTGGAGGTCTTTGAAAAGGCTGTTTTGCTGCGGCCTTTTTTGTACCAGATGAGTGCAAAGTGTATAGATTTTGGCATGCATATTTGCGTGTTTTGGCATCCTGCCGGTAGTAATAAAGTGAATGGCTGTGGTTTATTTCCAGTTTATGTGCACAGGCGTCTCCGGACTCTCTTCCAGCAGAAGAGTGTGCGCCCCGAAGAGGTCTCTGAGCGCCTGTATCATGTTCCCAGAGGACTTTTCCGCCCGCATTGCATCGTAGTGGGACAGCACGGAGGATATGCACGGAATGCTGACTCCGCCTTGCACGGAGAGTGCGACTATTTTTCGCAGCTGTGCTATCCCGTCCCGCGCAATGCTTAGAAACTCGCTCGAGGCAAAGAGCAGGCTGCTTTCAGAAATTGCTGCAAGCGTCCCCAGGAACTCGCTCCGTATGATGCACCCGTTGCTCCAAACCGAGCACAGCGTCTTCAGCGAAATGTCCCATTTGTTGTGCTCGGAAATGGCTCTGATCAAGTTGAATCCCTGGATGTAAGAGACAGCCCGGCACACCAGAAACGCCTTTCGCATCTCCTCCGCAGAAATCTCGCTGAAATCTGCTTCCTGTGAAGTGCCAGCGGGCAGCTTCTGTGCAAGCTCCGCGCGCTCGCCCTTCATTGAGGATATGGCGCGGGCCATGACTGCGTCAGAAATAACAGACGCAGGAACGCCAAACTCAAAGGCCTCCTGCACAGTCCACTTTCCCGTGCCTTTTTGCGCAGACGCGTCAACAATCGAGTCAATTATGAACTTTTCCTCGGATTTTTTTTCGAGCACTTGCACGGCAGACTCGATCAGAAACCCAGACGTCCCAGACTCCTGCCACTTTTTAAAAACTGCAGAGACTTCGCACGGCTCCATGCGCGCCCTGAGGATTTGGTAGAAGTCGGAAATCACCTGCATCTCCGCATACTCAATCCCGTTGTGCACGGTTTTCACCAAATGCCCGCTCCCTTCCGGGCCTATCCACTCGCAGCACGGGCCACCGCCCTCTGCTCGCGCGGATATTCCCTGCAGGATGCCCTGTATGTGCTCCCAGGCAGCCCTGTCCCCGCCCGGCATAATGGACGGCCCGTACCTGGCTCCGTCCTCGCCCCCAGAGATCCCGCAGCCCACATACAGAAACTTCCCATTTGCAAATCTGCACCTTTCTGTCGTGTCTTTGTAGTTTGAGTTTCCCCCGTCTATAACAATATCGTCCGGGCTCAAATGCTCTGAAAGTTTCCGAAGAAACTCGTCCACCGGCGCCCCCGCTTTCACCATCAGAAGAATCTTCCTGGGTGCTTTCAGCGCAGACACAAACTCAGGCAAAGTTTCACCCGCTGTAATGCTCGGGGTGTTTGCCTCGCCCACAAATTTTCGTGTTTTTTCAACTGTCCTGTTGTAGACGCATACTGTGTATCCCTTGCTCACTGCGTTCATGACAAGATTCTCCCCCATGACGCCAAGCCCTATAAGACCAATATCCATGAAAACAAATATTTTCATATGCCTATAAGAGAGACAGTGTCCGAGGAAGAACTTTTCGAGTTTGACGCCCCTCGGATAAAGGACTTCACCAAAAAAGAGTACCAGCACCAGAAGGTGCGAATTGAAAAGCTTCTGAAGGAGCACGGCAACCCAGGCGTGCCCCAAGACCCCTCAAAGGCACAGCTGGAGAAGAAAATAAAAGTTCCAGCGCCGGCCCCTCGAAAGACTTTCTTCTCTGAGATGTTCAGAGGGTCCGCGCAAAAAGCTGCGCCGGAGCCCTTTGCCAGGCCGTCTCCTGAAAGCGAGTTTTTTGAGGGTGCAGAAATTTCCAACCAAAGCGTAGACGATGGGTGGTTTCAAAAGAAAGAGCTGGAAATTGAAGAGTTCCAAAACATGTCTGTTAACACGATAGCGCCCTCCAAGACGTCACAAAACATTCTTTCTAGGGATCTGTTTCTCAGCGACGACGAAGCTGAAATACTCCCGCATCTAAAGGTTATAGCCACGCCCCCGATTAAGAGGATGAAGGTGGAAATACACTCCCCGGAGTTTGGCCCGCACGATATCCAGGAGCTCTCCAAGTCTCTGTCCTTCTTGCAAGAGAAGAGAGACGGGGCATAAACTGCACACGCATAGCAAGAGCATGCACGCAAGCACAGTAATATACGACTAGAATAAAGCACATAAAAATGAGCCATTTTATAACTTGCCTCCAAAATAGCTCCAAAGCACGGGGTTTCCCATTTTTATGCATGCATTTTTCGGGCTACGTCTGATGCGCTTGCACACAGTCACGGGGTATTTCTCTATGGATTTTTATTTAATATTTTCACACCCTGGATTTACGACGCATGATAGATACTATATGCTCTGAATTTCCATATTATGTTTTTATTGCTTCCTTCGTGTATAGTATGGTCTTTGAGCGAAGCAAAAGGATTAAGGCGGTTCCTTCGGGCAGGTCTTTCTTTGCACGGTTTGCGCTGTGCTGTGTGGTGAGCGTTCTTGTAAAGTATCCGTTCAACGGGGACCGGCCGGGTGTTTCTGGGCCGGCCATTCCAAGCAGGTGGAAACACTCGAAAACGCTTTCAGACCTAGACGGCATAGAGAGAGTCGTGATAGAGCCAAAGTCGCACGCGGGCATGCTTTTGGAGCAGCCCAAAAGGGACGTGCTTCACATCCCTGTAAGCTTCTCGCAGCTTAAAAACAGACTCTTGCCCAGCACAGGAACTCCCAGCAGCCACAGTGTTGTTTCAGGGTACTTGACTGCGAGAATGCTGGAGTCTGGGTGCAATCCTGTGCTGTCGCTTTGTCCCATGATAGTTCCTGTTGCAAGAGTTGTCTATGGGCACCACTATGTGTACCAGGTTGTGCTGGGAGTGTTTGTGGGGGTTTTTCTGGTGAAGGGTCTTCATATGTAGAGCACAGACGTTTTCCCGTGCGTGCAGAAGAGAGCTTTCCAGGCCATAGGATGCGAGAAGCTTTAAAAATAAACTGTACACTTGTGTTTTTTCTTGGGTTTGTTTTCACATATACACAAATACTTTTTATGTTTGCGTGCATGGATGACATAATAGAGAAAGTGAACTCGCTGCAGGTTCTGTGCGTAGACATACAGAACCCCATAAACATTCCACAGATAGTTGTGATAGGGGCGCAAAGCTCTGGCAAAAGCAGCATTTTGGAAAACATTGTAGGGCGCGAGATACTTCCGCGGGGGACTGGGATGGTGACGCGGAGGCCTTTGATGATTCAAATTGTGAACACGGAGGGAGAGGAGCACTGCACGTTCGGGCATGCTCAAAGCGAGGTGTTTTCGTTTGAAAGCGCGCAGGCGGAGATACAGCGAGAAACCGACAGAATACTGGAGAACAAAAACGACGTCTCAGCAATCCCCATAGTTCTGCGGGTCTACAAAAGGAGCGCACTTCCGCTTACGCTGATAGATCTGCCCGGGCTTGTGAAGGTGCAGTCCGACGGGCAGCCAGAGGGCATTGTCAAAAAGATCGAGGAGCTTGTTCGGTCGTACGTACAGAACGCAAACACGATAATTCTTGCCGTTTCCCCAGCAAGCACAGACATAGCCAGCTCCGACGCTCTTATGATGGCTCGCGAAGTAGACCCCGACTTTGAGCGCACGCTCTGCGTCTTGACCAAAGTTGATCTTATGGACCCAGGGACAGACATTGTCAACGTCCTGCAGGGAAAAGTCATCAAGACCAAGCTTGGGTTTATTCCTGTGATATGCCGCGGAGAGCTGTCTCTGAAGAGCAAGGTCCAGATAAAGGACGCGCTAGACAGGGAAAGGAGGTACTTCCAAGACTCTCCTGCGTACACGAAAAACCGCAAGTTCTGCGGCATCCCGTACCTAATTACGCGCCTGAACGACATTCTCAAGAAAAACATAGGAAAAAGCACCGCGTACCTTCAGGACAGAATTTCCTTCTTGCTGCGAAAAATGGAGAAGGAGCTGCAGGAAATGGGGAGCTCAGTGAAAGACGAGCGGCAGATGGTCATGCAAATGATCACAGAATTTCGGCAGGAGCTGGACAGAAAAGTCGCTGGAACTCCAAAGGCCAACACCAAGCACCTGGCAAAGGAGATTGTGGACGGCGCCCGGATATCGTACACGCTGGACACGCTTTTCTTCAAGTCGGTGCAAAGTTTGGACCTGTTTGACGCAACCGACACGGAAATTGAGAATGTGATGCACAATACTTCTGGCGTGTTTGGGGGCGTGAGCTCCACGCAAAGTCTGTACCACTTTATGGCGCAGGCCGTTGACAGGGCAAGGCCGCACTGCCTGCAGGTTTCCACGAAGGTGTTTTTGGAAATGCAGAGCATGATGGAGTGCATCCTAGGGGCGCGGCAGCTTGAGAGATTTCCCAGGCTCAAGGCAGAGCTGTGCAGAAGCAGCAGTGCTCTTCTCAAGGAAAGACTCGGCGCAGCTAACAGTTCTATAAAGGAGTTCCTGCAGTGGAATGCAACGTACATTAGGCCGGTGCCTGCTTCTGCGGGGTCGCCAAATGTGATTTGTGCAGGAGTGGGACAGGGGCCCAGCATAAGCCCGGAAATTGAGCTGCTCAAGAGGCAGGTTCTCCAGCAGATACAGCACCTCAAGGGGACAATAACCGACCAGGTCCCCAAAATAGTCATCTTTGAGGTAGTGCATAAGACCATGAACATGCTGCAGCAGAGGCTGATCGAAGACATATACACCCTGGAGAGCATTCCAGCCCTTCTGCAAGAAGAAGAATCCGCAAAGGAGAAAAGAGAGTCTTTGCAGAGGTCGATACTCTCGCTGGAAAAGGCGCACGCGATAGCAAGCACTCTGTAAGGGCGGACAAACGAGCATTTGGTGTTTCCTGGTGCTTTGCACGTCTACTTCTGTGCCTGTGCGCGGTAAAATGCGAAAGAGAAACAGCCGCTAGAAACTTGCGATGTATGGGCCAACTGTCGCGCAGACCAGCCTTATGTTCGGGGCCTTCCATGTAGTTCGTTCCCCCGTGCACAGGGATTGGGCAGTTTTTGGCTGTTTGTGTATGCCCATTGGTTTCCATGGGCTTGGAAAACACCAATAAATTGTTTTTGTTTCTTATTGTTATTTTCCATCTTTAGTCTTTCAAATGTACAGGGTAAGAGTGAAGTATTTGCATGAGGAGATTGAAATAGAAGTATCAGGCGAGGAAACAATTGAAGTGTTCAAGCAGAAAATAGAAAACAGCTTGAATATTGAACACGATAAAATAAGATTGACTCTAAAGGGCAGCATTCTGGCAGACTCCTCCAAAACAATGAGCGAAATAGGCACGCAGGAGGACTCTGTGTTCTACGCCAGCAAAGCCGAGAAAGTGTCCGGGCCCTCAGAGATAAGCGGGGAAGTCTACAGCAAGAAGGAGGCGCCAACAGGAAACCTTCTGAAAAAAGACCCTGAGATGAAGAAAATACTGAACAACCCAGACGTAATGAAGGGTCTTCTGGAGATGCTTCCGGAGCTGAAGAACGAAAACCCAGAGCTGAAGAAGCTAATGGAAAGTTCGGAAATGCTGGAGCAAATGTCAAAAATAGCAGATGATCCGGAGTACATGACAGCGCAAATGAAGAATTTGGACATTGCCATGGCCAAGCTGGAGACAATTCCCGGAGGGTTCAACATGCTCAGGAACATGCTGAAGACGCAAAAAGACCCCGGAGCCGCGCTTATGGAAGAGAGAGACAGGACCAGCTTTAAGGAAGGCAGCAGAAATGCCTCGCCCTCCAACCAGCCAGTGCCTAATCCATGGAGCAAGTACAACTTCAACCCAATACTTGAGTATAGGAAGCAGGTGGAGTACATGAAGGAGTGCGGGTTTACAGACGTAGGGTCAAACATACGCCTGCTAATAAAGCACCAGGGAGACGTGGACAATGCCATAAGCGAAATAACCTCGAACAGCACAATGAACTCGCCTTTGCCAGACCACAAGTCAAGCACATAGGAACAGCCGCCGTCGCACTATTAACTAAGCAATAAAAGCACAAAGTTACTTTTTCTGCATCTGCACAAGCACACAATACTTTCCAGCGCCTTCTGTTTATGCCTATGGCCAAATGGCATGGGGCCGTTTCTGTCCCGCATCTATCTGGTTTGTGTGCTTGTATGGATGTGCTCGAAAATCAAAATGATCGTGTAACTTTTCAAAAAAAATCAACTTCTGCAAAATATTTAGTCTATTTTCCATTCAAAATGCATATGATCATAGAGCTAAAAAAGTGGAGCTTAATATTGGGTTTGGCCAAATACGCTGTCTGTTCGTGGGAGTGGGCGCCAAGTGTAGAAAGGCAGCGGCGTAAAGAGGCGGGTGGGAGAGGCAGGCTTGCGCCAGAAAGCAGTTCCTGCGCGACTGGAGCGCCAAAAATGGGCAGAGATAGCATAAAACGGGCGAGGAGATCTAGATTTGAACCTATAACTGTTGCAACCAGAGAAAGTAACAATGGGCCCTCTGACAAATATTTGCAGGAGTTCAGAAGGACGGCGCTTTCCAACGAGGCTCTTCAAAGAAAGGGAGAGTGCGAGGACTTGCGCATAGGTTATGGGCTGGCGGACAGCACGGGCGACCTAAACAAACCCGAATGCTTCATTTCGCAGACCAGAGAGGAGTTCCGGCAGTTCAAGAAAGGCACCAGCATATGAGAAGTTGTTACATGCTTTTGCTCGAATAGCCGGAATGCATGTGCTGGGCTCTATACGCTGGCCGAGTTTGAAAAGAAGCAAGTGCTAAAAAACATGGGCCTGCATGGATACTATTCCAGCTTTGTAAAGGACCTTCTGGAGTACACACTGGCCAACTGCATGCATGAAGATCCAAAAAGGGACTTTGTGCGCACACAAATAGAATGCACCACCAGAAGGCCCTTGCTCTATACCTTCAGAAATGCTGCGCTTCCGGAAGACATCGTAGAAGATCTCTTTAATGCGATGAAAAAAAGGGGGATAGACATTATGCAGGGACACGGCGCGGTTTTTAGAATCCCAGAGGTTTTGGACGACTTCACGCACATGGACACGCAAACATTTAAGAGAACACTCGATTTGATTGTTATGAAGAGAATCGCGTATGGGCTGGACTATTTACATAAAGTTTCGACGATACTGCAGTGTTTGCGCTCTGAGGTAAGCGTGTGTGCCGAGCCCGATGCTATGCACAGAAGTGATGCGTCGTGCTTTTCTGCGCTGTCTGCAGAAGGCCACGGGAATCGCCAGAACCCAAAGCAGCACCGCAAAATAGAATACTTTGAGGCCTACAACGCGGTCTGCTTGTTCTATTTCTTTTGCCCTTCGAAGTACTTGAGAAAACACGGGGGCCAGATGGTGAGCTTCCAGTTTCGAGGGAAGGGCCTGGTATTAGAGTGCAGAAACATACAGTGCCATATAACTCTTAAGATGAACGATGGGGGGCCTCCTGAGATGGTAAAAACAGAATACAAGCACAGGCAAATCTGGGATATAGACACGCCTGTTCCGCACTCCCACGTTCATTTCATATGCAACGTAACACAGAAGTACAGGAAGATATGCATGCCTTTTTTAATGGGGAGGGGAGAGCCTATGTGCCAGCATAGCATAGAGCAGATTTGCGCCCATCTGAAGAGAGTTTTCTGCTCAAGCAAAGAAACAGTTATAGCCCTCCTGCACTGCGGACAGAAAAATACCTGGAGTTTTTCTGCGGTTATGGACACCAAAAAAACCATTTCTCAACTGGAGAGGGAGGGAGTTACTGCAGTCTTTTACCAGATACCCAAAAAAGACACCAAAAGAGACGCTGTTCTGAGCGTGTTTGAAGACCCAGATGAGCCCTGCAACTCAGGCCGAATAAAAATACCGCTCTTTCTCTCCCCCTTGATGCAGAGCGCCCTCCATCTAACCCCGTACACAGCAGCCGTCATAAAAAACAATAGGTCCATGCACAAGATGCTTTCCTGCAACAGCAAACAGCCTCTCAACATAACAGAATGGGCATACACAAACGATCCTGCAAGCACAGTCCCGCAGGAAGAGGCCGGGAACTACACGCTTATACGAAGCTGCTACGGCAGCCTGTATATTGACAGCCCGGAGGCCCGCATGGAGTGCAACAGCATGTGCATGCGCACTTTAGAGAACTTAGAGAGAAAAACACGCCAAATCGAATGGTCCACGCAAATTTGTGAAAGCCCAGACATGTACAACAACTACACGTTTAACTTTCTAGAAAATGCGGACATAAAGCTTGCGCACAACAAAATAGTTTCAATAATGGAAAAAACAGGCGAGTACTACACAGACCTATCTGCTCCGTGGTATAAAGTGCCCTTTTATGCAGAAATGTTTGAAAAGATGGGGGTGCTGCCTGAAGCTGTATTTCTGAATGCGAATGCAGCGAATCTAAGCGAGGAGATATACAGCCCCTTCTACTTTGCAGCGTTTCGCAGCGTGAGAAGATTCAAGCCCGAGCTGAGAGTCCACAACCAGCTGCTAGGGATTCTAATAGGCAAAGACTGATGAACCGCAGACGAAGCAGCAAAGAAAGACGCCAGCCCTGCAGCAACAGCACAAATAAATAAACACAAGGCTATGAATCTAAGAGAGCGCATGCATGGCAGGATGTGCATGCATCCTCCTTTTGCAGCAAATGTGGGCGCAGGACAAGCCAGCGAAAAAGCTCGAAAGCCTTCCCGGAGAAGCTGGGACGGTGTCCACTGCTGCATGAAGCTCAAAAATCCAAAAAATGGCTCTGCAAAAGTGCACGCCAAAGCTACAAAACTTGCCCGTTTGCATTTCGATAGGTTTATTACTAAACACGCATTTTCTTGTTGATAAGCAGAATCAGCTTTGGAATCGAGAAAACAGCGCCCAGAGACTCCATCTGCATTTCTGTCTCTCCCTCGCTTTCTCTCAGCAAAACTTCGTCCAGCGCCAGCTTCTCGCTTGCCGACTGTATTCCAATGACAAACACAGAAACAACGACCTCTCCAAGCGGGCTTTTCTTGAAAGAAAGCATAATGCTGTCCAGCTGCGAGGACTGCCAGTTGTACATTCTCAAAATAATGCCCTCCTGAAGAAGCTTCTTTGCCGAGCACTTAAACTCTCCCCCCTTTTCAAGAATTTTTGCGGACACGTTCTCCAGGTACACTCTGCACTCGGCCTTTCTCCTCTCCACGCCCTCCCGGGCCTTCTCCAAGCTCGCAATTGCCTTCTCTGTTGCGCGTATTTCCCTCTTTCTTGCAAGGCTGGCTCTGTGTCTGTTCGCCAGGTCGGTGCCGATCATCTTCAGAATCTCCTTGCACTCTCCTGCGTCCTGCACCATCCCCAGCTCGAAAAGCCTTCCTGCATACTTCTGGGCCTTCTCCCTGCACTTTTCAACCTCCTCCTCGGAGTGCAGCGCGTACACGCTTCCGCACGCCATGTCGCACGCCTTACTCTGGACAACTTCGGACATGCTTTTCCCTGCCGTGTTTGAAAGCGCCTTCACAACCGCCCACTTGCACAGCCTCTTCTCAACCGCGCCTGCGTTCTCCTGGAAGTACGGAAGAACTCCGCCTGGCACCACAAAAACAAGCTTGAACGGGAACGGCACGCACTCCTTCGCAAGGTTCTTAAAGTCCTCGGGCAAGTTTGTGCTGCAGAGTATCTTCGAAAGCAGCTCGTTTATCTCCTCCCCGCTAAGGCCAAGCATGTGGTTTGGCTGTCTCGCTGCAATGTACTGCATGGTATAGTACTCAGACAGCGACTCGACCTGGTGCAGCTTCTCTGCCTTGGAAAACTGTGCCTGCGTCAGGCCCATCCACTTCTCTCTGTCTGCGATCTCTGCGACCTTTTTGCAAGCGTCCATCAGCACGGCCCTTCTCTCTCCTGCAGGCACGTCTATAACCACGGGCGCAAAGAACACTTCCCATATGGAGAGGAACACTTCCACCTGCATGCGCTCATTTTCCGCAGAAAGGTCTTTCGCGCTCTCGCCCTCGTCTCTTTGCACGCTCTGCTTGTTCAGCGCCATGACCAAAAACCTTGCGTAGAACCTGATCACGTGCGGGAGGGTGTGGGCACTCTCCACAACAAACGCAATGACTTCCTGGGCCTGCGCCCCGCCCTCAATCATTTTCCGGACTGCCTCCATTCTTTCGGTGAGGCCCTGCGCTACGACAAGCGCGTGCAGCGCAATTCCGCCCAAGACCTTATCTCTGTTGCTTCCTGCGCTTGTGATCCACTCTTCAGAGCCAGCTTCTGCCATTCTTTCGCTCTTCTTATGCGCGGCCAGAACTGGGCTTGCATGCACAAGCGTCTCCACCACGCGCATGTATGTGTACTCTTCCCTGGGGGTCTGTGCGTGCCCGAAGAATCCCAAAAGTTTGGTCCTGCAGAATGCCTCTGCCTCTCTCTGGCGCAGGCCCATAATCAGCTGCGTGGCTATGCTGGGGTCGTCCTGCAGCTTTGCAAAGAGTTTTTGCAGAGCCATGTATTTCATGTATGTTCTCTTCTCTGCTGGAAGGCTGGCCTTTTTCTGAATTTTATTCTTAAGCATAAGAGAAATCCTATTTTCAACTGCGGCCACTTTGCTTTCCAAATCTGCGTTCTCGGCAAAGAGCTGCACGAGGATTTTGTTCAGCTCGTCCACAACCGTCTCCTCCCTTTCCTCGTCGCCCTTGAAAAACCGCAGCATCTTCCTGATTGTAAAGATGCTGGTCGAAGCCTCTCCCTTTAGCTCTTGGACGATTCTTCTTGCCAGAAGCATGCGGAAGTACGCCTGTATGACCTGCGCGTCCTGGAGGTTTTCTTCTGTGAGGGCTGCTTCGTCTCTTGTGCAGGTCTCCACATCGGCAGCGCCTGAGGCCTCGCCCTTTTCGTTCAGCTCGTCTGCAAGCTCGCCCTTCGCATCGAAAGAGTCCAAAATCTCGCTGTTTGTGGCTTCCTCTGTCTCCTCGGCGCCTTCCAGGAGCCCGTCGTCCATGCAAGAAACTCCAATTTCCAAGGGGCTCTGCACGCTCTGCTCGCTTTCGACCTTAGAGTCCACGGTTGCCCCCACGCTCCCTGCAATGCCGCTGAAGCTCGGCAGAACAACCCCAGACTCTTCAATCTCCTTCTCCTTTTTCGTAATCTGGTCTTCTGTGAATATTGCCCTCCCCACCAAATTACTGGGCTTGATGGCTATGTTCTTCCTGGAGAGGAAGTGGCCCAGCGCGTGTATGCAGTATATGACCTTTGGAATGTTTTTTCCCTCGTATAGGTCCACTAGGTCAAACATAAAGACCGCAGGCATGCCCACCCTCTTCGAAAACTCAAAAAACTTGTTTATGTTGTCTGTGTGCCTATACTGCAGCACAGGGTTTCTGAATATCTTGCTCGCCAGCTCTGGCCTAAACAGCTGAACAAGCCTGGCCAAATACACCCCGTCCTTCAGCGCATGCTCAAACTCATCAGGTATTTTCTCCTGTATGATGTTTTCAATCCACTCTCTAGCCTCCTGCATGTGACACAGATACTCATATATTTGATTTCTCTTCCGCTCTCTGTCCAATTCTTCAGCGGATAGCATCCTATCTTCTTCAATTGTGCTGTAATAAACACCTTCCTGCATACCCATAAAAATAATTTAGTATTTATGTTTAATATTTCCTTTATTTTTATATTCGCAGCGCGTGATATGATATATTGTATATATGATTTGGCATACAGCACATGCATTTCCCAATGTGCAATCATTTAGATCTGAGTGCATATACAAGACCTCTCGCATGCAGCTCTGCCAAATTTGTGCAATAAGCACCTGCCAGGGATTGGCATCGCCAGCCAAGTGCAGCGCAGCCATATAGCGCCTGAACGCGTCTGCCCTGAGAGCATGCGGCCTCTCTAGGAAGGCGGCGCAGCATATTATTGCGGCCTTGCTTGAGTTTTTTCGCTTTTTCACGCCCTGGGACTGTCTTCTTATGCGCAAATTCATTTTCTGGCTTCGGGTATATTTTATTTTTGTATTTTGATTATGTCTTTGCATGCAGATTACAGTAGGAGTAAAGGGACTTATATTTTATATTGTTTCTCTAATAAGTGCAATTGGACATGGCGTGTGCAATGCATTCATTGACGACACTAGGAACATAGCTCTAATGAATGTTAAGTATGTGGATAGCGACTCTAACGACGTGTACGTGCGCCTTAAGATACGCCTGTACAAAGACCAATTTCCCAAAACAGTGAGCAACTTCAAGGCGTTTTGCGAAGGCGTGAAAGTGCGCGTAGGCGGAGAAGAAAGGATGCTGGGGTATGCTGGGATTCCCTTCCACAGAATCATAGACGAGTTTGTAGCCCAGGGCGGAGACGTTGTTAAGAAAAACGGAACAGGCAGCGCAAGCTCGTTCCCCGAGAAGAACTTCGGGTCGTTCGAGGACGAGCCCGACCAAATGCGAGAAAGGCGAAGTGAGTACCCTGCGCGCCTGCATGACCGAGTGGGAATGGTGGCAATGGCAAACAGAGGGGAAAACACAAATGGAAGCCAGTTTTACATTGTGCTTTCAAAGAACAACTGCCAGCATCTGGACGGCGTGCACACTGTCTTTGCTGAGGTGATTGAAGGCATGGATGAGCTCCAAAAGGTGGTTTCCGACTACACGCAGTGCGAAAAAAGAAGGGCAAACTCCGGAAGCCTGCCAATTATTGAAAGCGTCACACTTGAGGAGGACACTTTGTCCGCTGAAGACTATAAGGAGGCCTTGTAGGCGCAGAATAAATAAATGCAAGTAAATCACACAAATGCACACATGCGCGATATAGCACACCTATTCAAACAGCCACTCGCTGCCAATTCGCGTGCGAAATGGCCCTGAAGCGTGGCTTTATGGGAAAGCGCATGCAGATGGGCCCAAGGCTGAGAGACATTACAGGAGTTTGGGTTCTCCTATTCGCAAAGTGCCTGGCCTTGCTTCTATGTGGCTATCTGAATTCGAGGCGTGCATTTTCTTGTGGTTTTGGCCTTTTCGGCGTGCTGCTACATTTTGGCAAAGCAAAAGACAGCGTGTGCTTAAGCAACGCCTTTTAGGGCAAAGGCATGGAGTACCCAGTCTGAAGAGCACACTCTGCAGCTGGCTCTTTCGAGAATCCAAATACTCTCTTGCAGAGGGCTATAGTTCCTTGTATAAGTTTACCTTGGTTTATTGTTGCCTGCATATGGCCGATTCTTGAACAAGACACAACTGCCCAATTCTACATAGAAGCTGGGCGCTTGGAAAAGCAAAAGCCATCTGGCACCTTCTCGGGATTTTGCAGCTTCTGAAAAGAAAATCAGAAGAGGGCATTTCCTTATGGCTTTGCAGACACGTGTGAGCTTTCTGCGGTTTCTTACGCCATTTAGCCTATTATTCGGAGCGGCACAAATAGCTGGCCTGGTATATATTCGGATTGGCCATCCAATGACTGCCTATAACCAAGATTGCGCATACCGCCAGCACACTCATAAACACAGTCCATCTTCTTTCCTGAGCTCTTTTGCCTATAAAATTCACTTTTGGTTTTTTGCAGGGCACCAGGATAGCAAGGGGTATTATAACGTTAAGCGTAAGCGAAATTGTCATTCCCACCACCGCTATAGGCAGCAACAACTGCCGCCTGATCGCAAAAGCCGCCAGCATCCCTGCCACCGCGACAATTAAACCGCTCAGACAGAACTTCTCCTTATTTCTAAGCAGGCGCCCAGGATGGTTGCAGAGCCCGTCTGCATAGCTGTCCTGGTTTTTGCATCCCCCCATCCATGCATGAGTCATTTGGTATAGTAGCTGCATATGATTTGCGCCGAACATAAAGAGCAATACTATCAGCCAAAGCTCAACAATCAGCATATAGTAGTAATTGATGGTGATAGACAAGATGTCGAATGAAAAATCCGGGCTTTCTCTCTGATGAATCAGCGCTTGTTTCAGGCCTGTTAAAAAGTCCCCGTACGAAGAAGCATACATAAAGCTAGGAGACACTAGCGTCACAATGCTCCAAGATGCTAGATAGAAACAGACTAGCAATGCCTGCGCAATAAACCTGGTCACTGTGTTATTCCTGGCGCTATACTGGTGCTCCCTATCTCCTGCCAAATCCACTGTATTGTGTATGGCCGGGAATATAAACAGCGAAACCCCCACAGCCCGCACAGTGGTCAGGACATTGATGTCAGAAAAAGTTCCGCATCTTTCTTCGTCAAATACATGGTTTTCCATATTCATTGTATGTAGGAAACATTTATGCATAAAGACTTGGAAGAAGATAAGAAAATTCAGGCTGAAAAAACACATTTTCTTTGTAACGGAATAGCGCCCACTCTCGACCCACCAAAAAATGTTTGCCAAAAAGGCCATTCCAATGGGAAGAAACACAAACAGAGAGGTCAAATCAAAAACCAGATTTGGAAAAATGAGTGCATTTGCCAATGAAGTTGTCCGCAGGTATACAAGCGTCAGCATAAGGGAGACGCAGAACACGCTCTGTATGTAGCTGGCAACCCTGTACATCGAGCGCACTGGCTTAAAGTGGTTCTGCACCATGTTTCTGTAGGAGCAGTGCAGCTCTATTTCGTGCTCCTCAGGCTCTCCGTTTCTTTGCTCGTACCCTGCGCCCCCCGCGTCAGACTGGCTCTTCTGCATGTGCTTTCTATCCATCCTTTTATGCATGCACACATTTATTGTGTTGACCAAGGACACAAAAAGACATCCACAGATTGCAGCCATGCACACAAAACTGCCCTTGTCAAAATATGTATACATTGCAAACAGGAACCAGCAGTTACTGGACATCTCTCCTATTGCACACTGAATGGTTCTTACATGGTACCAAACACTGCCGCTTCGCTTCTGCTCTTTCTTAATAAACAGGCGCTTTTTTTTCTGCATAAAAGTATTTCCGGCCATTCCAATGCTTTCTTCTGATACATATTTCGGTTTTTTTGGCATTTTTGTTCTTGCTCTTTCAAAACACTCTCATATATAACGAATGGCCATGAGATCGGCATCAAATGATGTTAGTCAAAAAAACACGCGCATCAGCACACAATGCCAATAAATGCACAGAATAGCAAGTGCAGGCCATTTGTGCCAATTTTCAGCAACTGCCCTTTCTGTTGCAAACGAGCCCATGCTGCGCATTTTCATGAGTGTGTGTCCTTAGTACATATATGCCTCTATATGATGGCACAAGTTTCATTCGAGCAGCTTTTTCGACGGAGTGCAATTTTGGCTCGCCAAGTTTCTCAGAAAAAAATGCATGTTTTCGGCCATGCAAATAGCCAGCACGTGCATTTGGCTGTATGATAGCAAGCATGCCTGCACGCATGGAAGCACTGCATGGGCAATGCCTGCCGTGTTTTCTGCTCGCTCATAGCCCAGTTGTAACACGGGGAGTATCCATTGAAAAATTGCCCTTTGGTCATTTTAGGCCTGTTTGAATGCTTGCGTGCTTAGTCTACCACACTGCTATGCTGTTTTCTAAATAAGCGCCAATCCATCTCCAAACAACAGCTAGCCACGAGTAACTGTGCTTTCAGCACACAAAAAACTGAAGAAAATATAAACGCCTATGCTGACTATACAATTCTTTATGTCTATGCTGCTCTTTACGCCTTAGCTGCGCCATGCGCCTATTCCGAGGTTATTCTGCCCAGAAGGTTTTCTACTGTGCTAAGGGCCTGCCCGCTGTCCGGCCCGTCCAACGCCGCCTGTATCTCCTGCAGAATCGAAAGCGTGCAGCCCTCCTTGCACGTTCTGACCATGTGGTAAAGCACACCCTCCACTTTCCGGGAGAGCTTCTCGGGGTTGTACATGATCTCTTCAGGGAGCCCCGAAAAGTCCCAGAGCGTGTGCAGCACCCTCTCGAAGAAGTAGTGCTCTATTTCCCCAGCCCTGCACGCCACTCCAAAGACTCTCGGGGTTTTGTTCTCCCGGCACAGCCCCAAAAGCCTGCGCGCTGTTTTTCTGATCTCCCAGAAGAGGCTGAAGCCCAGCTGCACGCCCTCCTCTATGCCCCCCACCACAAGGCTGTACGGAAACACCTTCTTGTACACGAGAGAGAA